CCTACCTACCCTCATCCGCTGCTTTGTATACCCCATTTCCCTTCTCTTTTCTAATCTCACATCCAGTCATCCCCAACTGCTTTGTATTAAACTGCCCGTATATGAAAGCTCTTCTCGCGCCCCCAAAATCTGATCTATACCCTCCTTAGTAGGTAATGATGTTGGTGCGTGGAGAGCTGCCATAGGCTGTTTTCACTGTAAAGTTGCAAACATTTTAATAACATACACTTACAAAACATACCCTGCTGATTTTCTAAATATTTTTGAAGTCAATGCCAAATGTTGGTTATTTACATCATATTTGTTTTTACAACAATCCTATATCAATAATGTAAACATATTCTTTCCTATGATAATCCATCTTCTTCTTCTGACATCAGGAGATATCCATTCCAACCCTGGTCCAAACTCTAGTAATATGACGGCAACCCATTCACTGAATCTTATGCATCTTAACATTAGAAGTATACGAAACAAAATAGGCTACATTGACGCATTGACCGACGATGTCGACATTCTTTGTATAACCGAAACTCATTTGGATCCTTCTATTACTAATGAAGAAATTACGCTACAGGGCTTTAGTGACAAACCGTTTAGAAAAGATAGGAATATGTTCGGAGGGGGTGTATTGTTATACTATTCTCCATCTCTCGTAGTTAAAAGAAAACTTGAGTTAGAATTTGCTAATGACGAAGTAATATGGGTACAAGTTTATTCAAATAATATTACACATATAATAGGAAATCTATACAGACCACCTAATCTAAATTATTCTGACGGTATATGGCAGAGACTAAAACATTCCCTCGACCTGGCATTCGATATTACAGATAATGTTATTTTGATGGGCGATCTAAATGTTGACTTTTTAAAATCCTCCAGAGATGAATTATTCGACCTTCTCACTTTGTACCAGATGTCAAATATTATAACCGAACCTACCAGAATAACGGACCATTCAGCAACATTATTAGATCCAGTAATTATCAGTAACACAATCAACACTTTTTTCAGTGAAGTTATTAATATAGACGACAATATAAGTGACCACAATGCTGTTTTTACAATAATTGAAGTACCGAAACAAACCCAAACAGTTTTCAAACGAAAGGTATGGCTATATGACAAAACAGACATCGAAAAGCTTAAACATTTTATCACAAATATATCATGGGTAAACCAATTTAATATGTTTAATGACGTTAATGACATGTGTGATTTTCTGACAACCACTATACTTAACGCTGTAGATATATGCATACCATCTAAATATGTGCAGATTAGACAACATGACAAACCCTGGATCAATAATATTGTCAGAAGACAAATACGTAATAGAAATCGATTAAAAAAGATACTTATAAATAATAATAATGATTTTAATAGGACGAAATTTAAACAATCAAGAAATAAAACAAATAATATGATAAAACGAGCAAAAGAACTTTTCTACGAAAATATCGACTCTATCATAGTCAAAAATAAATCTAACCCCAAAACATATTGGAAATTGTTAAGGTTTGTACTGAAAGGAAGCAAAACTACTGATATATCACCACTTTTTGATGACAATGCTAACGAATTCACGAATGATAATAACCATAAATGTGAACTTCTTAATAACTATTTTTCTTCAGTATCCAGTCATTCCGAAGTAGACCAAAACAAACCTATTCCCATTTTAGAAAAACGAACAGACTCTCTTTTGTCCGAAATTCATATTATACCTTCTGAAATAGTTGATATTATTAACATACTAGATGTAAATAAGGCAACAGGGCCTGACGGAATCAGTCATCGAATGTTAAAACTTGTAGCAAATGAAATTGCCATTCCCCTTTCCCTCATTTTTAATCACTCCTTAAACAATGGTATATATCCCGATAAATGGAAATTAGCAAACGTCATGCCGATCTTTAAGTCTGGCGACGCTCATAATGCTTCGAATTATAGACCAATATCATTATTAAGCTGTGTTGGAAAAATTTTTGAACGTGTAGTCTATAAACATATTTACAACTTTTTTAACTCTAATTATCTTATTTACAAACTTCAGTCTGGATTCTTACCCAATCATTCTTGTACGCATCAACTCATTGAAATGTACCATTCTATGATGTTAGCATTAGAAAACTATGAACATATAGCTTTTACTTTTTGTGATTTTTCAAAGGCCTTCGATCGAGTTTGGCATAGAGGGCTTTTATACAAACTTCAACAACATGGTATTTCAGGCAGTCTTCTTAATTGGATAACAAACTATCTTTTTGAGCGTAAGCAATCCGTCTTTATTCACGATTCCCATTCTTCTGTAAGAAATATAAACGCCGGTGTTCCCCAAGGTTCAGTGTTAGGCCCTTTATTCTTCTTGATTTATATTAACGACATTTCAACCGAACTCTCCTCATTATCTCGTCTTTTTGCTGACGATACGTCGCTTTCATACTCATCACCAAACCTAGAAAATATTGTAAGTGAAGTAAATAAAGACCTAAAAACTCTAGAGAAATGGTCTAAAAATTGGCTGATGTCTTTCAATCCTAAAAAAACCGAAATCATGATTGTTTCTAATACAAATCTACCCTTTCAACCCCAATTTATTTTTAACGATACTTCTATCCTTTTAACAGATAGCCACAAACACCTTGGAGTTATACTAAGTAGCGACGGTAAATGGAATAAACATGTAGACGAACTTATCAAAAAAGTGGCTAAATATATAGCAACCCTTCGTAAAATGAAATGGTTACTCAGTAGAAATAACCTTGAAAAACTATATTTAACGTACATTCGACCATTATTAGAATATGCATGTGAAGTCTGGGACAATTGTGGAATGACAAATTCATCAAAACTTGAAAATATTCAGATAGATGCTGCACGAATTGTTACAGGACTACCTATTTACACAAAAATTGAACATATATTTAATGAAATTGGCTGGGTTCCACTAAGTAATAGAAGGAAAAACAGAAAATTGTCCCTATTCTTTACAATTAAAAACGGTACAGCTCCTAATTATTTGTGTGACACCTTACCAGATAGCATTGGGGATATTTCTCGTTATAACCTAAGAAATTCCCAACATTTAAGACAACCAAACTTTAGGCTTGAAACAATGCGCAATTCTTTTTTCCCATCAACTACAAAAATGTGGAATGACCTAGATATATCTATAAGGAATTCGGCTTCTCTCAGTTCATTTAAATCAAATATAAAATCAAAAGGTAAACCACAAAATAAATGCTTTCTGGTATGGGGTTCCCGTAAATCAAATATACTTCATTGCCGTTTGAGAAATCGTGCGAGCTCCCTTAACTATGACCTATTTAGAGCAAATTTATCAAATACAGCTGAATGTGCATGCGGTAATCCATGTGAAGACTCTTATCACTTCCTTTGTGTCTGTCCCTTATACACCCAGCATCGTAATCTATTAATAAGAGAGCTTCAACCTGTTCGTGATGATTTAACTTTAGACTTGCTCCTATATGGCGATCCTAAATTCAGCATTAATGTAAATACCTCAATTGCAAAATCTGTCCAAAATTATATCAGCAAATGCAACAGGTTTGACTGAATGTGATCATCTTTCTCTCTCTATCACTCTTTTTTTTCTCCGACTCTACCTGTGTTACTATCATTTACTTCATTACTCTATCCGTCTTTTCTTCCACTCTATTTTTCATCTACTCTATCTGTGTTACTATCCTTTACTTCGTTTCGCTCTCCTTCTTTTCTTCGTCTCTATTTTCCATTTCCATATAAAAACATAATTAATGTATATTGCGTAAATAACCTTATCAAGTTATTGTTTATACTCATGTATTTGAAGAAAAGGACTTTGATAAGTTGGTAAAACTTGTGTCCAATTCTTTTGTAAATATTTATTTGCAATAAAATATGTTTAAATCAAAACAAACCATAACAACAACGTATCAGACCTGTTGAAGAGGGATGGTACTTACTAAACTACAGGTATGAGTGAAAATAAGAGATTATAAACATCGTGTAGAGTAATCTCGCTGAGCAATTTGATTTTTCATAATCCACCATTTTGACAACGAGGATGACACGAATAAACCAATAAAGTTGTTCAAATAAAATTCTTGGGGAGGTTCAGGGTATGTGTGGATTTTTCATTGAATTGGCCGGGCATATTATCGCCGGTTGCACTCCAGGTTCCTGATGAAGTATAAAACAGAAATTATGCTGTGCTTGTATTTGTCTATTTTCATGATTGTATTTCTGTTATTTTGCAGAACTAGTTGTTTTCTACTGTTTTAAATTATTGCTTTTTCAGGTTTTGTAAATATGTATTTTCAGTGTTTAACATATTCGGCGGCACTCCTTACGTGCCAAATGGAAACTCTTGGGGACAGCTAGATTAGTTGTTTTCCAGTAATTGTCATACCATTATTGGATTATTTATCCAATTATTATGTAACTAGAGATAACAAAACATGCATATTTATCTTATTTTTATTTTCTTTGTATTCAATCGAATAAATACGTCACTCATATCTACTGTAAATGTTTACAGCCACACATTTTTTTCACAATCCTGCATGTAGTTCAAGCAATACATGTCGTCAGTAATAGTTATTTAAAATGTTACATACACACAGACAAAGACAATGCAGTACACACACATATGCAAGTGTATAGCCATTACAAGATTTGTTTAACCAAATTTCGTAGTTAACACGAGTTTTTTTGTGTGTGCAAATATAGCATTACTATGATGAAAAAAAAATAAAAAAAAATCTGTTGTATGAATAGTTTTACAGACCTGTATTGACCATTTCAACAAACTTAGTGATTTTAAAAATAGAATTACGATTACAATCGAATAAATGTCTGACCCGTAAAACAGTATAAGCTTAAAATCATGAAACAATGAGAACCTTTAGTTTCAATCGATACCAGGATTTAATTGCAGTATAAACTGAAATAACATACTCTCCTCGGACTGTGCCTTTTTTTTTTTTTTTATATACATGAATTCACACATCGTGCTTGTATAACTTTACACAAAATACATAACCTTTGTACAGTATCATATTAATATTTGATTACGTTGTATTTTATAAATCAATAACTAAGTTCCAAGACAATCAAATATACATCACAACTCGGACTCAAGTTTTCCAGACCCGGTCCGATACGTAACCTTTTCTGCCACCAGACCATCAATTTTACTGTCATCGGTCAAGGCTGCTTGGTCCTGATCAGTTGCGACCATCTCAAGTTGTTCTGAATCTTCTTGAACAGTTCTGATTACGACTGGTTGGGCCGCCTCCATTCCATCTGTTTTCACAGTTTGGGGATCCAGTTTTCCAGACCCGGTCCGATACGTAACCTTTTCTGCCACCAGACCATCAATTTTACTGTCATCGGTCAAGGCTGCTTGGTCCTGATCAGTTGCGACCATCTCAAGTTGTTCTGAATCTTCTTGAACAGTTCTGATTACGACTGGTTGGGCCGCCTCCATTCCACCTGTTTTCACAATTTGGAGATCCCCAGCCGTTACTGGCCGAGATTCTGGTCCGAGAGTGACATTATCTAACTCCGCTCCGAAACTATTTGACGCAAAACGACCTTGACCTTTCATCTTAACGTCGTCTGTACGTATTAACCTACCGTCCACATCTATGACTACACCCACCGCCACTGTCTGTTTTAGGTCCCGGATGACGATACGGCCAAGGGACGGATAATCAAAGAAACTTTCAATACATAATGGCTTCATTGGCACCATCTCGACCACGCCCACTTCACCCGGACGTAAACAAGAGGGTGATTGTTCCGCCATCTCTCCTGTTCGACGGTCACATCGTTCTTTAATCTCGACGAACTTACAGGCTACGTTGGCAGTGTGAACGTTGAGGAGAGGCGTATATCCTTTCTTTATCTGACCAGGATGGTTCAACACCAGGATCTATAAAAAGGATGAGTGTGTTAGTTCTATATATATATGAATACATGCATTGATATGTAATCTGACATTCGATAACTCTGTCAGGAGATCACTAAATTAACACGATATACTCTATTACATATGTTATTTCAGATTTTATTTCCAACACTCAGACACATGCAAATGTGTAACATGAGGTACATGAACATGAATTCATATATTAAATTATGACAGGATGGACAGGTGCATACTTAAGCATTGAACTTTTTGTGTATGGTATTTATGATCTATTTGAATGACTAGCGCGCATTATGATTTGTTTGCTTGTAAAGCTGTGTCATTTAAATAGATCAAAAATACCATACAAAAAAAGTTCAATATTTATATTTACATTTTCTCTGCCTCTTATGTTCTTTTTTAACTTATAATTTATATTTAAAATTAAAAATGCCCGCCTTATCGACAGTCCACACACTTTCGTTCAATAGTTTGAACAGCGTATTGTCGCGTGCTGATTGGCAAACAAAGTAGTGCTTTGAAATTTTAACAAACACTTCAATTTTATTCCACAATTTAGTATCAATACAATTGCGTATGATATGTCTATAGGATGATTTAAGTTATCAATAGAAATCTGAGCTGAAAGTTACATTTGAAATTGTTTCGATTTTTCCCCGGAACAAATTTCGCGCATGGACAAATACAGTGAACACCGTAAATCCGACCTTGCCCTCCATGAGGGAGTTATTTTTGGAAGTTAATTCGAACTATTCCAGGCGTGAATTTATTTGTTGATTGTATTGGAACCTGAAAACAGTTGGCAGATTCTATAACAGCGTCGTTATTTGACATGTCGTCAGAAACAGAGGAACCGTGTATGCGAGACGCGTGAAACTGATTGCGTTTGAAGTGAGTGATCTTGCGACGGAGCACAGGTTCGTAACAAATGTCTGAAATGTTTATGTGTGCTGTGACTCATATCAGTTGGTCTGTAACATATGATAATGTGTCAGTAGGTCTTTACAATAAGTGTATTTCAGACATTTGTAACGAACCCCTGTTGATCAGTGCAGTGTAACAGACGATGTTTCTGATAAATTGCAAGAGCGTTAAAATTGTTTCCATTGCCGGCATTGGTGATTTCAAACGATGTGCATTTTGTACGATATTGCACACCTTGGTCTCGTTCTCGTTGTAATAAAAGTATTTTTTATTTAATTTTTTATTTTGCACATAAATTTACATTGACATTGTCAAATCTCACAATGCCCAGCGATATTTCAGCAGCCGTCATGTTTATTTATATTGGATTAATACGCTTAGAATTGTGTCTAGTGATGCATGGTAATTAAAGTCCCATCAACGACACAGCTTTCAAAGAGGCTATATAGTGACAATGCCATGCAAATGTAAATATATGTATATGAAGATACTGATATATATATTTATGCATGATACAGTAACATGTTGTACACATGAACTATTTCGTAATTAGACAGCAATGCATACATATATGTAGATAGCCACACATTTATCCAGAGCTTACTCAATGGCTAGGAACGCTACAATTAGCTAACATATGATTCTACCTGAGCGGTGACATGCTGGACTAATTTCGTAACAGCTGTCGATATTTTTTATTCACTCCAGACACACATACCGTACCTAAGCGGTGACTTATTAACCTTGTGGCAATATACTGAATAGATTAGTTGCTGACCGCCTGACCATCTTAAATGGTGATTTATTGATCAGGTGATCTAATTTGACGTAAATTATACGGACACTGTGACATAATTTAAAAGCGGCAAACATTCTGACCTCGTAAACAACATGTTGATGAAGTGACATTCCTGGGCGGTTAACCTACTGACTTTCCTTGGTGGGACGTTCTCCGGGTCCCTTCGCACGAGTGACTTACCTTTGGGGTAATATAAACTTGCTGACTTTTCCGGGTGGGCCGTCCTCCGGGTCCCCACACACGAGTGACTTACCTGGGTGGTTAACTTGCTGACTTTCCTGGCTGGGCCGTCCTCCGGGACCCAACACACGAGTGACTTAACTGGGCGGCAAACTTGCTTCCTTTCCTGGGTGGGCCGTCCTCCGTGTTCCCACACACTAGTGACATACCTGGGCGGTAAACTTACTGACTTTCCTGGGTGGGCCGTCCTCCAGGTCCCTACGCACGAGTGACTTACCTGGGCGGTAAACTTGCTGACTTTCCCGGGTGGGCCGTCCTTCTGGTCCCCACACACGAGTGACTTACCTGGGTGGTTAACTTGCTGACTTTCCTTTGTGGGCCGTCATCCGTGTGACCGGTCCCTACACCCGCGTGACTTACCTAGGCGGTTAACTTGCTGCTTTTCCTGGGTGGGCCGTCCTCCGGGTCCCCCCACACGAGTGACTTAACTGGGAGGGAAACTTACTAACTTTCCTGAGTGGGCCGTCCTCCTGGTCCCCACTCACGCGTGACTTACCTGGGTGGTAAACTTGCTGACCTTTCTGGGTGGGCCGTCCTCCGGGTCCCTACGCACGAGTGACTTACCTGGGCGGTAAACTTGCTGACTTTTCTGGGTGGGCCGTCCTCCGGGTCCCTACGCACGAGTGACTTACCTGGGCGGTAAACTTGCTGACTTTTCTGGGTGGGCCGTCCTCCGGGTCCCCCCACACGAGTGACTTAACTGGGAGGGAAACTTACTAACTTTCCTGAGTGGGCCGTCCTCCTGGTCCCCACTCACGAGTGACTTACCTGGGCGGTAAACTCGCTGACTTTTCCGGGTGGGCCGTCCTCCTGGTCCCCACTCACGAGTGACTTACCTGGGTGGTAAACTTGCTGACCTTTCTGGGTGGGCCGTTCTCCGGGTCCCCACACATGAGGGATTTACCTGGGCGGTACACTTGCTGAATTTTCTGGGTGGGCCTTTTTCCGGGTCCCCACACACAAGTGACTTACCTGGGCGGTAAACTTGCTGACTTTCCTGGGTGGGCCGTCCCCCGGGTCCCCACACACGTCTCCTTTCTTGACATCCTTCAGTCCGAGGTTCTCTATCTGTATCCCGACATTGTCTCCGGCCTGAACCTCCGTCATCACCTCACGGAACACCTGGACTGCCCTCACCTGTAACAAAGAACAGGTATGAGCAAATACCCGTCTTATAACAGTAAACCTATGTTACAACTATGAGTCAGAGAGGCAATCGTCTCACAACAGTAGTCCAATGTTACACCTACGAGTGAGAGAAGCAATCGTCTCACAACAGTAATCGTATGTTACAACTATGAGTCAGAGAAGCAATCGTCTCACAACAGTAATAGTATGTTACAACTATGAGTCAGAGAAGCAATCGTCTCACAACAGAAATACTATGTTACAACAATGAGTCAGAGAAGCAATCGTCTCACAACAGTAGTCATATGTTACAACTATGAGTCAGAGAAGCAATCGTCTCACAACAGTAATACTATGTTACAACTATGAGTCAGAGAAGCAATCGTCTCACAACAGAAATACTATGTTACAACTATGAGTCAGAGACGCAATCGTCTCACAACAGTAATACTATGTTACAACTATAATTTAGAGAAAACACTTGCCTTTTAGTAGTACTGCCAATGGACGGTAACAGATTTGGTACAAGCTACATGTAGGAAGGTTGAATAAAAGCAGTTATCTATGCACGTAAGCAACACTTCCATCAACCGTACATGTATATATAACAAGACGATACTAGTAGTTGGCTGTATACCGTAGTGCTATGTACATTGCATCAATCACAGACATCAATAGGTTATTGTTAATTCATATTGTGCAACCTTTCTGTGCATACAGATAAAGCGTACGTTTAGTTAACTGACCTTGGCCTTGATGTCATTCGGGGCAAAGGTCACGGGCATGTTTGGTTTGAGAGATCCAGAATGTATTCTCCCGGCAGTCACTATACCGATATCTAGGGAATGTCGAAATATAACATGTACAGGTATACACGTGTTTGTTTTTATCAGAACACAGACACCAACTACTGGACATTTTCAAACAAGCTTAACAAAAGCATCATGTTATTGTGCACTTGGAAAGCATTCTCTCTTCACTTTCCAGTTCCGGTAATAGGTATATGTAGTGTGCATTGTACACATGGCATTCTGTCTAAAGATGTGTTCCATATATCTTTGCGTTTGCAATGCGACGGATTAAGCGACACAAGAGTTTAGCGCATGTTATGGCAGGTAAGGTGTTATTTATTGCAGTACAGCGGTCAATCTCAGCTCGCCGATATAGATATTGCTATGGTGAGTCTCCTTAACAAACATGGTGTCTGATCAATTTAACTCTCAATACATATGGAATAAAACGACCATCTTTCATGTTAACAAATTAGAGTTATCTACTTTCCCTCATCCAGCAACGATAGTAAGTTAGAACTCACCAGTATACTCTTAAGGATACAAACTCGTACAGATCGAAAAATCGAGGGGTACGTACCGCCCAGTTTGTATACGGAGTGTATCGGGACCCTGAGAGGGCGGTGCTGCATCCGGACAGGGATGTCCACCTGGTCCATCGCCTCTAGAAGTGTGTGGCCCCCTGCTCCACCGGAACCTCTCTTCACGCGCCACATGTGGAACCATTCCATGTTCTCAGACTTTGTCACCAAATTGTCGCCGTCAAAGGCTGATATTGGTAAGAAGGCTACAGCATCTGGGTCAAAGCCGACCCTCTTGATCATCGGTGACAACACTTTGATCACGTTAGCGTATCTCATCTGTTGATAACAAGTATGGACTGGTAAAATGCGTATTTACAAATTACTACACGTAGATGCACATGTACATTTTATCATAAAATAATATACACTGAGATTTCGTCTACCTTTTAGTGTCTTGGTTTCACATTTACAGCAAGTGTTTTTAAACATGCATATCAGCAGGGTGGCTTGCTATGGCCAACTAGCGAATCTCACTTCCTCGACCAAAGGTTGACTACACAAGGAAACGACGATAAGGGGCGACGATGCAAAAACACGAGAAAGCAATAATAAGACAAGAAAATAGAGTGAACATACTACAGCATTAACGTCAATCTCGTCCTGGTTCTCTCGTTGTCGTATTCTCGAGTTGTCGAACTTAGGTCGAAAAAGCAATTGATATGTTTTGCATGATCAATCCATCTATACTGTAACAATTATCATGATGTAATGTTGTCAACTGTGTGACTTAAATATCCTAGATACAGTGTCATGGTTCCAATTAACTTGATTATCCCTCCTTCGTCTTCAAAACTTACCTCGCTGTATGGAGGTGTCGTGGTCTCCATTTTGTTGACGGCGACGATGAGCTGTTTGATCCCCAGAGAGTAGGCCACCTGTAGGTGTTCCCTCGTCTGGCCCCTCCTCTTTACACCCTGCTCGAACTCGCCCTTCTCCGCTGATACCACCAGTATAGCTACATCCGCCTAAATCGGAACCGGAAATGAAACTCTTGGATGAAAAGATAAGGGGTCTTTTTGGACTTTAACACAGCAATCTCACGTTTTCATTATATAGAGGATATTCAATTGTTTCCCGTTGAATATGTATAAAACAAACATGGGGTCAACATTCGGCCCCCACTACAATTACTTTTATTTTTCCGCCATATATAGATAAATGAAAAAAATAACAATAACTGCATATATATGATTATTCATTATTATCACTGATAACCATAGTGGACTTCCTGGCATAAACCAGGTTGAGTGACACAGTTACCCTAACAAATAAATAGATAAATGTCACAGGCTAATATTATTTTAAAAATGAATTATGATAGTGTAAAGTGTATTACATTACTGTTATTTTGATACTTAATATATCATATTGATATACAGAAAGTAAGCGTAGTGATAATTTTAATTAGAAAATCATGCAAAATTTTCACAAAATTTAAAATTTATCAAAACTTGTGAACTTGCCTTTTTATAGCTACAAAAGAAATTCATATTTTATACTTTAAAAACTTCCCATATATTACTTTCTAAAGAATCATTTTTATTTAGTATCAAAACCGGTAAAATACTCTTTTAGCATGCAAAACATGACCAATGCACAATTTCACATAACCATGAAGATTTGATTATCGATGTTAATTAAGGTAAAGCCGATACATTTTCTGTCTTTGTATCATAGCAAAACACTTTATTATAATACGCATGTTATGAAGCTGGGCAGCAGTAGTAACTCATATATATCCATTCTGCAAAAGGAATCTTTCCTCTGGAGAAGTACTTAAGGTTGATATTGTGTTATAGACAAAGATATGCAGATGTATAAAAGCAACAAAATAATCTAAATAATAAAACTGATCTACACATGGTTATTGTTTTATTTTGTCTTTTGCAACTTCATTAAAATATATGAAGGAATATCATATTATTTTATATCTTTATCTCTAAAGAAATAAAGCAAGGAAAGATATCCTTGTCTGACTCTCCATACACAAAGTATGTTAGCACATTTGATTCATGTGACCTTGAACAAAACTTATATCCATTCACATGAACAACATACTTGCCAAATATCAAGACCCACGAGCCTTTGGTTATAAAAAAACACATGTTAAAGGAAAAGTCGAAAGAAAGCTATGTTTTTTGGTTTTTGTTTTTTTGTTTTTTGTAAATCAAAAATGTTTTATGACTTTACCGGTTATCATTTTTTACGGAATTCCTGTTGAAAGATATCATTGGTTGCCCACTTTTAAGCAAGTGTGAAAAATAAACTCGATTTAGAACTATGCAAATTAACGTGTCCAAAATGGGAATTCTCTCATTATTGATGAAATGTCACACATTGTTCTGGTTTAATCTTCAATAAAAAGAATATTTTTTTCTTGAAATAGTGTAATATTCGGTATCAAAATAAGAATTGGAATACGTTGCACACGATGATGATATACTTTTACAGTAATGGTGTCATTTAAATGTTATATTAGGAATTGTATTACCGCATCTTTAACACACATACAGGTGTAAGTCAATGAGGTCCCATTTGTCAGAAAATGAATTCTGAAACTAACTGTTCCAAATGTAAGCTTCCTATACCATACCTTTTTGTAGTTAGTTTTGTAGTTTTTAAACGTAGCTGTCAGTTCTCGGTCACAATTAATCGAGACCAAGTGCATGGCTTGTGTATATTATCATTGCCATCAAATATAGCTATGTTTTAACCTAGTACGCACAAACAGGTGACGTAAAGCACACAAACCTGTGATGCGCCTGTAATCATGTTGTGAACGTAGTCTCGGTGTCCCGGGGAGTCTATGATGACGACATAATGATTCGAAGTCTCGAACCGCCGTAGTTTACTGTCGATAGAAATCCCTCTCTGTCTCTCTCCCTTTAGCTTGTCCATGACCCAGGCATACTTGAACGATGCCTTACCCGCCTGTATCAAAGGAATACCATAGTTAGACGCTGTCTGATGAGCTTTGTAAAGACCAGATGTGTACCGTAACGTCAACCATGTGATGAATGCAACATTGAATATAAAAACATCGATGCGATGTATTACATGTAGTTAAAGATAACATGAAAAACTACTTTGTAAGAAGATGAAAATAGAAAAATTAAAAGAAAAACACGTCTCAACCATACAATGCTTCATTGTTTTTATAGATGAAACAGTTGGTAAAATCATTTGACGAAAAACAACTCCAAAAAAAAAAATAAGTTCAATACAATAAGATAAAACCTACCAGGTCAGCCTCACGCGCTAGTCTGTTCATTGTCTCTTTGTCGATACCTTTACATAGATACATAAGGTGTCCAATCAGTGTAGACTTTCCAGAGTCAGCATGACCAATCACAACGAAATTAACAAACGACTTCTCTATTTTGCTTCTGTTTGTCGGCCTAGCCGGAAGCATTGGAGTCTCCTCTGTTAAGTGTGCGCGCGCCATGTTTTCATCTGCCCGTTTTGGTATCGTGGTGTCTATTGTGGGCGTGGCTGGTTGGACATTGATAGACGTGGCTAAAAATAAAAAAAACAAAAATACAATGGACACATATACAGCTGAAATGTGTCTCACTCCATACGGAACCTTCACCGTATTAGACTAAACAACGCAAATCTAAAACGTTTTCACCAAATCAAGAAAGAATATCATACCAAGAGATAAAGTCAAAATATGTACACAGTTGTTCAAGTTCAGACGGAAACTAGGATATGGCTTACTTCATTTATGGATAGCCTACCGTCATCAGATCAAAGACAGTATTCATTATTCTTCTGATTTATTCATACTATTGAATTATTCCATGGAATGCATCTAACAGCCCAAGGTATATTTCTGGGTAACGTGAATATGTATTCCAATGCTAGACGGTGCGACCCGTTACCGTTTCATTTAACATTATTCACACATGTCGTGCTAGTACTGTATGTATGGGATTCAGAAGCAAGTCGCACAAAACACTGAACAAATTTAACCAACAAGACAATTCAACGCACTTTAACAAATAATATGAATAGCACAGAAACTACCTGGAATCCCGCCGTCCATTGGAACACTGGATTTGCGGAGAATACCGGAGGGAGTCCTTGTGGGTTCGTAGTCGTGGTTTTCTGGTATCGGAGGGTCGGTAAGATCCGGCGTGGCCAGCATATGAACCCCTCCAAACGTCACACTCGGTGTCCGCTGAGTTTTACCACTTACGGCTCTGTCGTCGATCGTATTCTGGTCAGTGTCGTTGTCAGTTTCCATCGTAAATCCAAATGGTTACTCTACAAATCATTGTCATCACAAAAAATACATCAATGCACAATCATTTTGTTTTCAGATATAAACTGAGTCAGAATTATTTGTTAAACGCTGATTTTGTCATAGTGGATTGTCTGACGATCTGGTAGGTCCAAACGAGAGTTAACCTCCTACTTGTCACTGATTATAAACTGTTTTTGTGTACAATGGTATGATCTGTTGATTCTCTTCACCCAATATACTACGCACCATTTATAAGTGACCAGGGTTGTTTTCTCATTTGCCTATCTTTTTAACATAGGAGCTAATTGGACATAATTTCTTTACTGAATCATTCACTCACCACTAAATAATTATGAATTGATAAAAGAGTTTTGAAGTTACAAGTTCCTAAACCTGCGTTACTGAAAGTTTTTCATGCACAATTACATGTTTTGTTAGTAAATTCGAATATGTTTTAATGTCCTATGGTTAATGAAAATAGAGCATGTAATTTTCCACAAAAAAAAATCATAAAAAAAATTCTAGTCAAGAGCTAGCATACACTTTACTAAATATCGCTATACAAAAAGCACAATGTAAAATTTTAATCCCATAAAGAAGTTTAAGGGATTAAAAACTAATATTGCTTTTTACACAGAACATGTACCCTGTTCACAATAAAGTCGGAATGACATCCACATGTCTATAAAGCTACCTCCTGGTCGGTTACTACGCTATCTTGGGGGTACACAGAACTGTAAAATCACACGTCTTACCTTGTTACGATCTTCATACCAGTATGCGTCATTTTGGTAACAATTAATGCAATACAAACAACAAAATAGGGAACCGATGATTGACCAGTTCTAGACGTCAGAGGTGGTCAGTGTTAAAAACCAGTGCTTAATATGTGTGCAGATATACCCGAATACCGTTTGTTATCCGTATTAAGATTCATATAAGATTAAAGAACGGGTTTATATACTTAGTTGTCACGTAAGTACCAGCGGTACGATATACGGTGTGTCTGCTACACTTGTACCGTATAATTCTAAACCGATCATTGCTTACTCGTAACAGGTTGTATGTATGACTTTACAACCACACTGCAGTGGATCTGTGCTAAGGGGAATAACTCGTGTCACCTTCGTCTGGTAAACATAGGTTTATTCCCTTCGTATACACAATGAGACTGTATGAGCTGTAGATATCAATACGCGAGAAAACTATTGGTCAAACTGCTATCTTTCCGTGTCAACATTGTCATGGAAATTACAAAATGTATATGTTTATCGGTTTTGGCGTTACGTACATACAGGAATTGAATAACTTGTTTCAATCATTTAATGTTACACACCATTTATAGAACCAGAAACGCCGGGTCGTAGACGCAACACAACATTTATAGAATCAGACACGCCGGGTCGTGGGCGCTACACCACATTTATATAATCAGACACGCCGGGTCGTGGATACTACACAACATTTATAGAGTCAGAAACGCCGAGTCGTGGATACTACACAACATTTATAGAACCAGACACGCCGGGTCGTGGATACTACACCACATTTATAGAACCATACTGCATACATGTCGGGTCGTGGATACTACACCACATTCATAGAACCATACAGGTCGGGTCGTGGATACTACACCACATTTATAGAACCAGACACGTCGGGCGGTGGACGCTACACCACATTTATAGAACCAGACACGTCGGGTCGTGGATACTACACAACAATTATAGAACCATGCACGTCGAGTCGTGGATACTACACAACATTTATAAAACCATACATGTCGGGTCGTGGATACTACACAACATTTATAGAACCATACTGCATACACGTCGGGTCGTGGATACTACACCACATTTATAGAACCAGACACGTCGGGTCGTGTATACAACACCACATTCATAGAACCAGACACGCCGGGTCGTGGATACTACACCACATTTATAGAACCAGACACGTCGGGTCGTGGATACAACACCACATTCATAAAACCAGACACGCCGGGTCGTGAATACTACACCACATTTATAGAACCAGACACGCCGGGTCGTGGATACTAGACCACATTTATACTGCATACACGTCAAGTCGTGGACGCTACACCACATTTATAGAACCAGACACGTCGGGCCGTGGACGCTACACCACATTTATGGAACCAGACACGTCGGGTCGTGGATACTACACAACAATTATAGAACCATGCACGTCGAGTCGTGGATACTACACAACATTTATAGAACCATACATGTCGGGTCGTGGATACTACACAACATTTATAGAACCAGACACGTCGGTCCGTGGACGCTACACCACTTTATAGAACCAGACGCATCGGGTCGTGGATACCACACAACATTTATAGAAACAGACACATCGGGTCGTGGATACCACACAACATTTATAGAAACAGACACGTCGGGTCGGGGATACTACACAACATTTCTAGAACAAGACACGCCGGGTCGGGGATACTACACAACATTTGCAGAACCAGACACGTCGTGTCGTGGATACTTCACCACATTTATAGATCCAGACACGCCGGGTCGTGAATACTCCACCACATTTATGGAACCAGACGCGTCGGGTCGTGGATGCTACACCACATTTATGGAACCAGACCCATCGGGTCGTGGATACTTCCCAACATTTATAGAACCCGACACGTCGGGTCGTGGCTACTACACAACATTTACAGAACCCGACACGTCGGGTCGTGGCTACTACACAACATTTCTAGAACCAGACACGCCAGGTCCTGGGCGCTACACCACATACATGTCGGGTCTTGGATACTACACAACAATCATAGAACCATGCACGTCGGGTCGTGGGTACTAAACAACCTTTATAGAACCAGCCACGTCGGGTCGTGGACACTACACAACATTTACAGAACCAGACACGTCGGTCCGTGGACGCTACACCCCATTTATAGAACCAGCCACGTCGGGCCGTGGATACTTCACAACATTTATAGAACCAGCCACTGCGGGTCGTGGATCCTACACAACATTTATAGACCCAGACACGTCGGGCCGTGGATACTTCACAACATTTATATAACCAGACACGTCGGTCCGTGGACGCTACACCCCATTTATAGAACCAGGCCCAGCGGGTCCTGGATACTACACAACATTTGCAGAACCAGACACGTCGCCTCGTACAGACTACATAACATTTATAGAACCATCCATGTCGGGTCGTGGATACTAGACCACATTTATAGAACCCTACATGTCGGGTCGTGGATACTGGGGGACATTTATAAAACCATACATGTCGGGTCGGGGATACTACACAACATGATACTACACAACATTTCTAGAACCAGACACGCCGGGTCGTGGATACTACACAACATTTACAGAACCAGACACGTCGGGTCGTGGATACTATACAACATTTATAGAACCAGACACGTCGGTGCAGTGAGTCTGACGCGTTTGACAGCTTATGAATCCTGGTGAGGTTCAACTCCACGTTCGAAGCCACTCGTATCGGGCCTCTAAACATGGGCTTAAAATGATTATCCATGCATCAGTCAAAATCTTGAACGTTTCTGGTACATGTAACAATAGAAATTATCACTAAGCGACATGAAAACCAACAAGTGCCGCATATATTATTGTTATAATTCATTAGCAAATGCGATATACCACGTCGTTTATACACTGTACCATAATCAATGTATGGATATAACATTCGCATATACTTTTGATAGTAATATAATTACGTAAAATATATTGTTTTATTGATTTTCAGTGGACGTTGAATACATTTGTACGAGTATTGAATTTGTATCGTTGTGTTCCATAAATCATCTTCGCTATAAATACAAAAAGCATTTAGCACGATGACGACTCGTCCCCTTTCAATCGCCCTTACAGCAGTTGTATATGGAAACAAATGAAGTAAAATGCAGCTACAATGATGCTATATACATTATATACATCATTCACCATCCTAACTGTGTGTCAAATTTTCTAAATCAATGAGAATGGTATGTGATATGCGGTTCAGCAGACGATTTACACAGTAATTACAAATTGTGTGCCTTTCAGCCCGCCATTTAGATCTCCTATCTATAATTAGATCCGTCTAGGGTTGGCCTCAGTGACCCCTGTCACGTGTAATACAGATCCGGAGAGCCATGTTTGATTTCACAGTCTACACGGTACTGAACTTGCCCTATTTTATTTGATGTTTTCCACTCAACATGTTTAATACTTCAAGAATCCAGCAATCTAAATTTTGACGAATTAAATGTCTGCCTGATATCGGTTTAAGCCATATAGAAAGCAACTGCCATTTGTTCAGACGTCACTTAGACAATCATATGTCTAATTTATATACTGTCTGTCAGATTTGGACTCTTTTCATCTTTCAAATCAATGGTATGGATCATGGTAAGGGAAACTACATGCACATTCCCAACAGACGTCTATGGAATCCGCTCGTACTTTTTACGTCACTGACCGATTAGTTGGAGCGCGACGGAATGACCCGAATGGATTTTGGAATTCCTTGGAGACACTTCTAAACTACACACCTTATTAGCACCAACTGTTGTGTCAGGAGCGGGACTGTAAGAAAGCACGTGTGTCGTTGACAAATTGATTCAAGTCTAGTCTTATTAGCTCACCTGGTCCAAAGGACCATGGCAAGCTTATGCCATACCGCAGCGTCCGTCCGTCCTCCGTCCGTCGTCCGTCCGTCCGTCAACTTATCCTTTAAAACGCTACTAGTCCTGAACGGCCAATTAGATTTTGACTACATTTGGTCTGGAGCATCCTGAGGCCAAGGTGTGGCCCCCCTGGGGGCAGAGAGGCGGGGCACAATAGGGGAAATAGAGGGAAAACCTTTAAAATCCTTCATCTACCGTAGGAATGATAGGATTTGTTTCATATTTTGTCTGGAGCATCCTTGGGGGAAGGGGAACAAATTTTGTATAAATGATGGGTCTGGCCCCCCTGGGGGCTGAGGGGTGGGCCCGATAGGGGAAATATAGCATATTATATAAAATCCTTCTTATTGTGTAGGAATGAAAGGATTTTTTCCATATTTGATCTGAAGCATCCTTGGGTGAAGGGGCAACAATTTTGAATGAACCGTGGGTCTGGCCCCCCAGGGGCCTGAGGGGCGGGGCCCAATAGGGGAAACGTAGCAAATTATTCTTTAAAATCCTTCTTCTTCTGTAGGAATGATAGGATTTGTTCCATATTTGGTGTGGGGCATCCTTGGGCCAAGGGGACTCAATTTTGTATGAACCGTGGGTCTGGCCAGCCAGGGGCCTGAGGGGCGGGGCCCGATAGGGGAAACATAGCAAATTATTCTTTAAAATCCTTCATCTTTTTTAAGAATGAAAGGATTTGTTCCATATTTGGTCTGAGGCATCCTTGGGTGAAGGGGAGCCAGCTTTGTATAAACCGTGGGTCTGGCCCCCAGGGGCCTGAGGAGCGGGGCCCAATAGCGGAAACAAAACAAACTATTTTTTTAAATCCTTCTTTTTCTGTAGGAATGAAAGGATTTTATCCCTATTTGGTCTGGCCCCCCTGGGGGCTGAGCGGTGGGGCTCAATAGGGGAAATATAGCATATTATATAAAATCATTCTTCTTCTGTAGGAATGAAAGGATTTGTTCCATATTTGGTCTTAAGCATCCTTGCTTGAAGGGGACTCAATTTTGTATAAACGGTAGGTCTGGCCAGCCAGTGGCCTGAGGGGCGGGACCCAATAGGGGAAACATAGCAAATTATTCTTTAAAATCCTTCTTCTTCTGTAGGAATGAAAGGATTTGGTCCATATTTGTTGT